GTACATAGTAGTTAGACATTTGTATTAAGTAGGTAGTTAGATATTTAGTGTTAAGTTTTGAGATACCAGCGTTTAATGAGTTTAGGTTTCCGAACTTGCGTTGTGCATTGTAGTTGCAGCTAGTTGACCCTGGGGTTAAATATATTTGGCAGGTTATATTTTTAGAAAATATCTAGTTAGGAAAAATTTGTTATCTTTTTATGTACTTAGGCTTGGTGTTGTAAACACCAAAATCATTGGATGGGAGGAGTGTAACAAATTTTTTAATTTTTCAATTTTTTATCTGTGGAGTCCAGTACCATTTTCTAGCAGTTCAGACAGTTTTGACAGTAGGAAAGTGTTTCCCAGTCAAGGTTGATAGGTGTTATACTTACATTAAGGTATGGAACACTTTAGATGTACAGGGAGTCGTTTTAACTGCTATTTTCTGTGAGATTCATTTTTGTTTTTATCTGTACATTTTTCTCACTTCCTGTAGAAGAACTCTGCTGACCTACATTCATTTACTCGTTTTTCCTTGCAATTTCACCATAATTAGAGCCAATGATGATTGGTTTTTGTTATATTTATCTAGTTTATATCTTAATCTAGCTAATACATTACAAGATATGTGTTCGTTTTGTGTTAAACAGCAGAAATCATGATTGCTAGGCAAAGCCATTTATTTTGCAAAAGTTATTTCCTCATTGCACCATGGTTGTTTATTTTGCACTAGTGATATCCTGCCTGGGATTCTAGTGGACTGACTAGGTATTGCATCAGCCCATTAATCACTTGTTAGGTTCGTGTGCAAAACCTGTCTGGGGTATAAATACAGAGCACTGATCGCTCCTAGCAGACACGTACACAACTTTTGAAGAGGAAGGAGCTCCTATGTCAGTGTCTCATCTACAGACGAGGGACTAAGAGGCTGAGAAACTTAGAATATTTACGACATCCCAGAAAGATAGAATATTCCCAGCAACTGATGTCAGAAAGATAGAATATTCCCGGCAACTGATGTCCAGAAATCCCAGAAAGATAGAATATTCCCGGCAACTGATGTCCAGAAACTTAGAATATTTACGACATCCCAGAAAGATAGAATATTCCCAGCAACTGATGTCAGAAAGATAGAATATTCCCGGCAACTGATGTCCAGAAACTTAGAATATTTACGACATCCCAGAAAGATAGAATATTCTCGACAATTGATGTCCAGAAACTTAGAAAATATAACTGATGTCAGAAAGATAGAATATTCCCGGCAACTGATGTCCAGAAACTTAGAATATTTACGACATCCCAGAAAGATAGAATATTCCCAGCAACTGATGTCAGAAAGATAGAATATTCCCAGCAACTGATGTCCAGAAACTTAGAATATTTACGACATCCCAGAAAGATAGAATATTCTCGACAATTGATGTCCAGAAACTTAGAAAATATAACTGATGTCAGAAAGATAGAATATTCCCGGCAACTGATGTCCAGAAACTTAGAATATTTACGACATCCCAGAAAGATAGAATATTCCCGACAACTGATGTCCAGAAACTTAGAATATTTCGATTACTGATGTCCAGAAACTTAGAATATTTCAACGACTGATGTCTAGAAACTTGGAATATTTCGTGTAACTGATGTCCAGAAACTTAGAAGATATAACTGATGTCAGAAAGATAGAATATTCTCGACCAATGATGTCCAGAAACTTAGAATATTTTGATTACTGATGTCCAGAAACTTAGAATATTTCAACGACTGATGTCTAGAAACTTGGAATATTTAGTGTAACTGATGTCCAGAAACTTAGAAGATATAACTGATGTCAGAAAGATAGAATATTCTCGACCAATGATGTCCAGAAACTTAGAATATTTACGACATCCCAGAAAGATAGAATATTCCCGACAACTGATGTCCAGAAACTTAGAATATTTCGATTACTGATGTCCAGAAACTTAGAATATTTCAACGACTGATGTCTAGAAACTTGGAATATTTCGTGTAACTGATGTCCAGAAACTTAGAAGATATAACTGATGTCAGAAAGATAGAATATTCTCGACCAATGATGTCCAGAAACTTAGAATATTTTGATTACTGATGTCCAGAAACTTAGAATATTTCAACGACTGATGTCTAGAAACTTGGAATATTTAGTGTAACTGATGTCCAGAAACTTAGAAGATATAACTGATGTCAGAAAGATAGAATATTCTCGACCAATGATGTCCAGAAACTTAGAATATTTCGATTACTGATGTCCAGAAACTTAGAATATTTCAACGACTGATGTCTAGAAACTTGGAATATTTCGTGTAACTGATGTCCAAAAACTTAGAAGATATAACTGATGTCAGAAAGATAAAATATTCTCGACCAATGATGTCCAGAAACTTAGAATATTTTGATTACTGATGTCCAGAAACTTAGAATATTTCAACGACTGATGTCTAGGAACTTGGAATATTTCGTGTAACTGATGTCCAGAAACTTAGAAGATATAACTGATGTCAGAAAGATAGAATATTCTCGACCAATGATGTCCAGAAACTTAGAATATTTTGATTACTGATGTCCAGAAACTTAGAATATTTCAACGACTGATGTCTAGAAACTTGGAATATTTCGTGTAACTGATGTCCAAAAACTTAGAAGATATAACTGATGTCAGAAAGATAGAATATTCTCGACCAATGATGTCCAGAAACTTAGAATATTTTGATTACTGATGTCTAGAAACTTAGAATATTTCAACGACTGATGTCTAGAAACTTGGAATATTTCGTGTAACTGATGTCCAGAAACTTAGAAGATATAACTGATGTCAGAAAGATAGAATATTCTTGACTAATGATGTCCAGAAACTTAGAATATTTCGATTACTGATGTCCAGAAACTTAAAATATTTCAACGACTGATGTCTAGAAACTTGGAATATTTCGTGTAACTGATGTCAAGAAACTTAGAAGATATAACTGATGTCAGAAAGATAGAATATTCTCGACCAATGATGTCCAGAAACTTAGAATATTTCGATTACTGATGTCAGAAAGATAGAATATTCCCGGCAACTGATGTCCAGAAACTTAGAATATTTCAACTACTGATGTCTAGAAACTTCGAATATTTCATATAACTGATGTCCAGAAACTAAGAAGATATAACTGATAGAGAAAGATAGACTCTTTAATATAATCTTTGATATTTCACATAAACAAAGGACTTTCAAATAGTCTCTCTACAACTTAATTTACACCGATTTATTCTGTATACATTTTTGGGCTGGATAAGCAACAATATATGTGTGTTTAGTTTATATTCGATGTTGTGTCGCTATATCATCACGTGCATTTAATGTGCACCAAGTATCCCTCAAAGTGACTTAGCCTAATAAAATAAATAACAACCATCCACACTACCCAAATTAGGCTAGTTGTTACAATATAATCACTATCAAGTTTGAATGTGATGGGTAAAGGTGTGTTTTGTATTGCCATATAATCTTTTGGACCCATCTCATACAACATGCACTTGTACAGTAAAGCAATAATTCATTTTGATATTAAACAGGTTTTGTCAAATATAATTGCTTTAAACATTAATTTTCAACAAAGTTAGACACTTGTTTTTCCATGTGTTATATCTGCATAAATTGATCGTTAGGCTATTAAAGCTAATAGATAACAGACAGTTGGGATACTCCCAATATGTTTTACCTGTAATTACCAGGCAGGAGCTGTCTGTTACACCTGTAGGTGATCATAGTAGTAGTAGGCTCTAGTACTATACATCATATGCTCTTATAGAGATCCCCCTTGCAGAATAACAAAGTTCAAAGACTGGAGAATTCATTAACAAATGGGAAAAAGAGAGTTAGGAAGCTGCAGTTGAGAAGGCTCCATCTAACATGTTACTTGTCTTAGGTTCAAGACGACTAAAATTCTTTACTGTCATGTCATATTCATGAATGTAGTTTCTTTTGATTGAAATTGAAGTCACATGTTATTTTACCTCTTATAATTCAAATGGTATTTGCCTCATCATTTTCATTTTGCCTCACCCATAGAGACCCCTTAGCCACACAACTGATATTCATTGTCATATGGAATACCTTGTTAGACCAAGATGTGAAATCCCAATAAAACGATTCATACAAAATAAGAAATTGTAGAATTCCAAGAGCAGGATGAAATTGTGGAATTGTTGTAAGAATTCATCTTCCTTTGCTTGTCTTAGGATGAATCAACTCTCATGGGCCTCTAATTGGTGAATTGCCATGAATTGCAGGCAAACGTACTGGACAAGTTGTTTAAATTGTTTCCTGAGCCAAAACTTTTCAGATGAATTATTTTCTTTCAATGATTATGTCGATCAAGGGTTTCAAGTGTCTTTGAAGTGAGAGATTTTTCATTTGTGGATTATTAATTGATTTGAGCATTTCCCTTTGTACAGGTGTCTATATTAGACACTGTTGAAATAGTTTTCCAGGCCAAAATCTTTTTGATTAACTACTTTGCTGATATCACAATTTAGACAACAAGCTGTCTTGAAATTATTGATCATCAAATTGATATGAATCTTACCTTTCTGAAACATCAATGTTTTTTCAACATCATTTCCATAGTACTTCAATCTCTTGCAATTTATCACTCCTATCAATTTGGATACACTTTCACAACCAACATATTACGCTCTAAAGAGTGATGGCAAAGTCCGACATAAACCAGGGTCAGAATTATGAATGGATTCATTCATGACACCTCCCCTTGTTGGGAAGAATACTGACGTTGCTTCAAGCAAGTGTGCTCCATTTCCTTTAAACACCTCACCCATAGCGGTGAAGTAGATGGTGGGGAGGAGGGTTGCCGCAAGAATAGCACTGTTACAAATCTGTATTAGTCTCAACAACATTTTACCCCCCCCCCCCACCTTCTTTCCCTGAATGGGAGAGAGGGATACAAAGGTTTTGATACAGTTTTGCATATTGCTTAAAGTACTTTCTTTTATTTCAGTTAATAGTGATGAGCCTACGCTTCTTAATCTTGCCACAAATGCAGAGATCACAGTAAATGCTACCTGTGGTCTGGAAGGACCAGAAACATACTGTAAACTAGTCGACCATGTCCGTCGGAGATTTCCATTCAATCTTGCACCAGAATCTACAGCTCATTGTAGGATATGTGACAACAGTACAGATTCAACTGCCCACCCTATAGGATATGCAATAGATGGCTCTAACAATTGGTGGCAAAGCCCCACATTGACCCAGGGTCGGAATTATGAATGGATTACTATAACACTAGATATAAAACAGGTATGTTGATTTGTAAATGTACTTGTGTGGGATACTTTAACCAGGTTAGGCATTCAGAATACCCCATCCCTCCCATCAGATTATATAAGGCCACAATGTTAATGTGCATTCCATATCTCAAAAAATGGTAAAGTAGACTGTTACACACAATAGAAAAAGAGATAATGTACCCTGCGTGCAGAGTCTAGTTAAACTACACGAAGCTCTCTTTTAAGAAGTGAAGTCAAACGAATGCAAGTGGTAGAGATAATGTCAAGTTTACATGTAAACTAACTAACTAAATGTACCCTGCGCGCAGAGTCTAGTTAAACTACACTCTGCCTAGTAGAGACCATATTACAGTTTAGTAACCTCGCCCCCACGACGGGTACTGGTGACTGTTTGGGTAAATCACTTTTGACCTACTCGCTGACCTCCTACCAATCAGCGAGCTTGAAGAAACATACGCCAAATGTGTTCTAATTAAATATGCGCATGTCATTGGTCAATTTCGGGCTCAACGATGACGTCAGAAGGAATGACCATATAAAGAACTTCGGTCAAATTTGGCCGACGAACACTGATTGGCGCGGTGAGTTCACAGGTTTATTTTAGTTTGAAAGAGTGAAGACGAAGCTCTGTTTTACGAAATGAAGTCAAACGAATGCAAAGGGTAAACTAAATGCTTCCCCCTATGCATATTATATATGGTAGGTTAACAGAGCACAATCATCTGACTTTTTATATGCAATTTAAACTGAAAAGAACCTATTTGTATCATTCATATAAGGCTTAATGTAAACAGGAAATAAAAAAGAAACTTCATGGTATATACTATATCTACTTTCTCTTTTTCTTTACTTTTTTTATCATGTTTTCGGTCATTGGTCTCATCTTTTTCTTTAATGGACCAAATTAAGAAATAAACCACTGGATGTTTGAAATGCAAAATCATCCATGTGGTCACTTCTAAAACTGATGGCTTAATGTCCTTATATTGCAAATTACCTGACATATATATTGCCATTCATTGGGGTGGAATGTCAAAAGTTAAAAAAGTTGGATTTGTTATTTTCAATGATTTTACCTTTACCTATGATTTTCTATTTTGGTGTCTGGTCATAAATTTTAATGTAATGGAAAGAATATGTTGGTTTAACAGTAGATGTAATGTGAGGAGAGGAGAAGCTACCTTCCCATGACTGTCATCAGCATTTCCAGAGAGACCATTCAATTTTCATTACACATTTACAATGCAATTAAACTTTTGTCACATGTATGAGCTGTTTAAAAGATTTGAAGTGACCTGCTATTCAGATTATAATTCCAATATCTTGTCTTCTGTCAAATTAGCCATGCATTATTAGATGCTGTCAATTTAGTCCAAATTCAGATATATCAGTGCATTGTGAGTATTAGGTTAATTTCTCCTTAGTCAACATTTACTTTGTCATTTGGCATGTTCAAGGACTATTATATCAGACCCTATATAGAACTCCCATTATTGCCCTAAAGGGGCTATACCCCATTCTGTTCTATCAGGGTATGATGTATTTCTCACATCTTTATGTTTTGCAACTGTGGCCCAAAAATTCCATCTTGCATCTAAAATTAAAAAATCTTTTGAAATGGGTAGAAAAGGAAAATATGATAATGCTCTATTTATCTTGAAGCATGCCAGTTGTCTGGTCCATAGGCCATGCTTCAAATATTTTTTACAATTATTTAGGGAATTTTTGAAAAATAGGTGCCCTATTGGCAACCAAGTAATATCCTGAGTTGATTCGGTTTGCTTCACAAAGAAGTACATGGACTCCCACGAAGAAGCAATCACATTGGTATTTGGCAGTGTATTATGATGAATGTGAAATTGCTAGGTTTGAAGTACTAGTTTCGGTTGTCAATCATAATGTATATACACCTGTACATCATCTTTAAAACATGACACTTAAAAGTGACATGATTATTAAAGGATTGAAAGCTAATTCTTTTGTCATATGGTTTTGAATATACTGTATGCCCAAAATTCCTGTTCTTACCCTAAAATGTCATTGTGAAAGATCATGGCCTTTTTTCAGTTCCTAAATATGGAATGCTATTATCAGAAATGATGTGATGAATATCTGAATTCTAGGACTCTTAAGAGTCCCATTTATAAGACAACACTATGAATAGTGAATGTCATTCATATTCATTTAATGTAGCCTCTTTAAAGAATGCCTCTTCTAGACTCATGAGTTTAAGAGAAACCGCTGAATTCGCCAAGCTGCAACCAGAGCTTGTTTTCGAAATGAGGATAATTTTCAATTGATATATGACCAAGGTTGTGATGACCATGGCCAGTAGTGCAGCCCAACTGTTAAATTGTCTAACCTATTCAGAACTAAGTTGAAATTACACTCAGGGTACCCTTTGAAAACCTTGGAAAGAGTAAACAATTAAACATAAATCTATTCCTGAATTATCTTGACATTTAAAGTCCCCAGTTTGATCTACCTGTATTTTAAATCAAAGGTTAATTACAATGTCACTGAAGGGTATATAATTAGCAAATAATTGTGCCTTGTGTTCTGTGTTTATGACACCCCTAAATCAATAATATGACATATGTTCTAATTTAAGTTCATGATGTCTTTTGATGCTTTGACATGAGGGCTTCTTTAAAGTCTTTTTTGAATTTGATTCTGTATTTAGCTGGCCTTAAGCACGGTGAAGTTAGCAACCTTAAAAAGGTCGATTCTATTCTACACTTTTACATATTTTGGATGAAGCATTTGACCATCCAATTGAATGAAGAAAATTCTTTAATGGAATGAACCAACAGCATTTGAAGGGTCCTCTAACTCATAAAATTCCTTAACATACAGGGTAATGTTGTGAACAAACTTCACAGACTAGCACAAATTCTTAAACACACATGCTAATCTAGTAGAGTAAGAATCTCACAATGCAAGAACTTAATTCAGCAATCAAATATATTCCCATTACATACCTACATAATAAGACATTTGTCAATATTTGCTTAATCAGGGCTACAAATATTTTCAGAAAGTTGAACATATTTTCATTTTTTCTTCATGAAATATGAATAATTTTCTTATATTCTTAGCCTGATTTCAGGTTAGACTTAGGAAGTTGTGCCTGGGTATCTTTATTTTCTTCATACGTTATAGTTTTCTTTCTTTTACTGTATGATGCTTAGCTCAAGGTTGGGTTTTTCAGAACAAGTAGTTTTGGTTACTTAACAATTAGAAGCATTAGCTGTAAAATCATGGCAAAGACTGATATTTGAAAGGAAATCTAAAGTCATTGTTAATTTTCAATATTATTGTAACGAATTTAGGAGGCCAAAGAATAAGCTTGCTTCAATGACTCTATTTAAATACTTCACAGAACTTTTAAGAATAAAAGCAGATTTCAGACTTTGTTCAAGCTTATGGTAACATTGATCAATGTTTGGTCACACATTTGTACAATGCTTCTGGGAGTGGTATTACTTTCAAATAAACTGAGTTCCAGAACTTACTTATTGAGTCTCTCAATGAGAGAAATAAAAACAGTTTTGGTGCTGATATTTTAACCCCAAAGGTAGCTGTCCTAACCTTTAATGAGTATCAATATGTTACAAATTCCATGTACTTATGAAAATATAATGTTCAGTGAATGCTGTTTTGATTGGGTAGCTGGATTTTTATCGTCAATATTCTCACTATTCTTATTGGTTAACGCAAGATCAAACGATTATCTTTTAACTCAAGAAGTGCAGATGTGGCTCTCCAATATAGAATCAGAATCAAACTATTATCTTTTTCTATTTCATTAGCTTCTATTCTACCTGAAATTGAAACCCTGAGGCTTGCATTTATGTTCTGTAGACAAAGCTCTCCTCAAGAGTTGTAAAGTTAAATTCTTTATAAAAGGGTACCAATATTGAAGACAAAGTAGAAAATTAACCAAAACAAGATCCAGTTTTCCACTCTACCTGAACTATTTACATATTTTTGATACTGTAGAGTTTATATTTGACCTATTTTGCTGAAATATAGGTCATCACACTCTGATTTCTACTTCATTCTCTTCTATGCCATGATGATGTACTTAAGCATTTTCTTCTTTCTTGATCACTCACAAGAGCATTGATGTGATTGTGACGATCATTCTGATACTCTTCACATCTTTCTGTTTCACTAACAACAAAACATAGCTGAGAACAAATAAGAAACCATGATTTATCATCCAAATCGTGCCTAAGTTTTGAACATTAAAGCATAATTTTGGATAATTTGGCCTAAAAAAGGTCCAAAAAGGGCAAGCGATGCACAAAAAGGCCCACTAATTGAGGCCCTATATCATTTGTGGGTTCGCATTTTTTTGGAATACCTCTGTTGTAAAATTTGTAGGATTTTACCTTAAACTTCTACACTAATAAGGTATCATGTAATCCAACCTATTGGCTAGCTAACATGAGGTAATAGATAGTTGGAACAAGTTGTACTTTGTACATCTTAATGATACATGTATATACTGCATACAGTGAAGATAAAAGAGGAGATTAAGCAACATTTTGCATAGATGCTTGCTCTACTTACTATATTGGCACAAGCTCATCAACAGTGCATATTTGGTATTTACCCTATATGATACATAGTTTCACAAAATTGTATGTTGTATTGTATTGAGTCATATCATTGAGCCCCATTCTGATAGTTATGCTAGAAAGAAGCGAATAGATGGCCATGCTTTCTCATGATGCTTGGGCCCAGGGACTTGTAGGAATTATTGTCGATGAAGTTCTCTTTTAAAGATGCAAAAACAAACTGTTCAAAAGGGAATCATGATTAAACCCCTGAACCCTTCTTCCATTATTTCTGGGGTCTTATGATAACGGGCAAAGCAGAGGTGCTACTGCCAAGGTGTCCCTAGAGCTTTGAATTTCATTATCTGAGTCAGAAGGGGCTTCATGCTTATTCTATAGCTTTATGATTGAAGAATGTTCAAAAGATCTTGAACTCGTTTAATTG